AATAAATGATTGCATCTATGTTTGTGTTTCAATTTGTTTGTATTTTTTTGTTGATGAGATGTAAAGTGCAAGTTGTACTGTTCCTCAAACCTCTTGACTCTCCTTACTTCTGATTAGGTTTTCATAATGTTGAACTAGACACTAAGATCTGAGTTCTGACAAAAGTCGAATAACTTTCATCGAAAGTTTCAGGAGATCCCAAGATGGAATGCAAGAGTAAGAACTTTTTGTACAACTATGAAGAATGAACTTTTTTGTTGAATGTATGTTTTATTTTGATCAATGTGTTGAGTTTTCAAATGATTGCCAAAGAATTTTTGACCTACCATGGTTTCGTCTTCCCCTTTTGCAAAGACTCATCAGGGTCATTTTTAGAAGATAGCTACACTTACTGCTACCTTTGAAAGGGAGGCTAAGATCAATTCTATAACTGAGTCCTGCCTTGCATAAAAATTGTTTGGTTGTATTGATGTTTGTGAGTTTGTAGCTAAGTATTTGATGATTGTATAGTTGTTTTACTGAGTTCTACATTGCATGAGAAACTCTTTTGTTGTTTGATGTTTATAAGATAAATGTTTCATGTTTTTATTTTTATTTGTCTGTTGTTTAGAATTTTTGAATGTGTGGTGAATGTAATTAGATTTTTTTTTTTTTTTTTTTTTTTTTTTTTTTTTTTTTTTTTTTTTTTTTTTTTTTTTTTTTTTTTTTTTTTTTTTTTTTTTTTTTTTTTTTTTTTTTTTGTATTGATGTTTGTGAGTTTGTAGCTAAGTATTTGATGATTGTATAGTTGTTTTACTGAGTTCTACATTGCATGAGAAACTCTTTTGTTGCTTTGATGTTTATAAGATAAATGTTTCATGTTTTTATTTTTATTTGTCTGTTGTTTAGAATTTTTGAATGTGTGGTGAATGTAAGTTAGAAAATTGTCTTATATTGATTTTGTAATATTTGAATAAATGATTGCATCTATGTTTGTGTTTCAATTTGTTTGTATTTTTTTGTTGATGAGATGTAAAGTGCAAGTTGTACTGTTCCTCAAACCTCTTGACTCTCCTTACTTCTGATTAGGTTTTCATAATGTTGAACTAGACACTAAGATCTGAGTTCTGACAAAAGTCGAATAACTTTCATCGAAAGTTTCAGGAGATCCCAAGATGGAATGCAAGAGTAAGAACTTTTTGTACAACTATGAAGAATGAACTTTTTTGTTGAATGTATGTTTTATTTTGATCAATGTGTTGAGTTTTCAAATGATTGCCAAAGAATTTTTGACCTACCATGGTTTCGTCTTCCCCTTTTGCAAAGACTCATCAGGGTCATTTTTAGAAGATAGCTACACTTACTGCTACCTTTGAAAGGGAGGCTAAGATCAATTCTATAACTGAGTCCTGCCTTGCATAAAAATTGTTTGGTTGTATTGATGTTTGTGAGTTTGTAGCTAAGTATTTGATGATTGTATAGTTGTTTTACTGAGTTCTACATTGCATGAGAAACTCTTTTGTTGCTTTGATGTTTATAAGATAAATGTTTCATGTTTTTATTTTTATTTGTCTGTTGTTTAGAATTTTTGAATGTGTGGTGAATGTAAGTTAGAAAATTGTCTTATATTGATTTTTGTAATATTTGAATAAATGATTGCATCTATGTTTGTGTTTCAATTTGTTTGTATTTTTTTGTTGATGAGATGTAAAGTGCAAGTTGTACTGTTCCTCAAACCTCTTGACTCTCCTTACTTCTGATTAGGTTTTCATAATGTTGAACTAGACACTAAGATCTGAGTTCTGACAAAAGTCGAATAACTTTCATCGAAAGTTTCAGGAGATCCCAAGATGGAATGCAAGAGTAAGAACTTTTTGTACAACTATGAAGAATGAACTTTTTTGTTGAATGTATGTTTTATTTTGATCAATGTGTTGAGTTTTCAAATGATTGCCAAAGAATTTTTGACCTACCATGGTTTCGTCTTCCCCTTTTGCAAAGACTCATCAGGGTCATTTTTAGAAGATAGCTACACTTACTGCTACCTTTGAAAGGGAGGCTAAGATCAATTCTATAACTGAGTCCTGCCTTGCATAAAAATTGTTTGGTTGTATTGATGTTTGTGAGTTTGTAGCTAAGTATTTGATGATTGTATAGTTGTTTTACTGAGTTCTACATTGCATGAGAAACTCTTTTGTTGCTTTGATGTTTATAAGATAAATGTTTCATGTTTTTATTTTTATTTGTCTGTTGTTTAGAATTTTTGAATGTGTGGTGAATGTAAGTTAGAAAATTGTCTTATATTGATTTTTGTAATATTTGAATAAATGATTGCATCTATGTTTGTGTTTCAATTTGTTTGTATTTTTTTGTTGATGAGATG